GTATACTATAGGTGTTGACTCTACAGACTATGTGTGCTGACTCTATAGACTTAGACTATATGTGTTGACTTTATACACTACAAGTGGATCCCCCGCGGCTACACCGCGGCCCAGCAGAAGGGCAGGAGGCAAAGAGGCAAATGTGACATCCAGAGGACGAAGCCCAAATGAGACGGGATGACACCACAGAAGACAAATGTACAATCGCATGAAAAAGCGGAGTAGACAAAACAGGAACAAATCCAGCCTGTTTGTCTTTCTCTCCGCACGTCCTCGCCTCTGTCCCCCTGGCACCGATGTGCAAAAGCCGAAATGTAAGCACTTTGTGTTTCTCTTTCAAAAACTTGGTGGACCGGGGATGATTGACAACAAAGAGGATGAGTCACAGCATGCAATGGTTCCGGCAATGATTCAGAGGACGAAGTTGCCGTCGTGGCCAGCAGTTGTTGATTGCTCTGGATTGGTCGAAAACCTCATCTTGGCGTGCACAACGACGATTCAAATGCGTTCATCCAATCTACAACTGACATGACAATTCACCGATGGCACATAATAACCAAGGAGTTGGGAAATTGTTTTAGTTTGAAGATGTGGCAACATGTGGATAATGTTGATTCGAATCCGTTCACTCAATCAACAATTACATCAGGGAACCTGCCTTCTTTTTTTTTTTTTTTTTTTTGAAGAAAATGATGATTCAAATACATTCCTCCTTCTGCCTCCATCCTCCATCCATCGTCGATGTCCCTATCTGTTTCTTTCATCCGCGTTGTCCCTTGGTACTCCCTCCTGCTTCCTCCTCTCGTCTATGGATTGTCATCGTTTCGTCCTCGTCGTCGATGCTGGCTCGCCATCTATCCATCTTCCTCCGTCCTCTCCGCCCCTTGCTAATCCCATCACCCTTCTCTGGTCTATCGGGTCATTGTCCTTTCGTTCTACATCACCCTTCTCCGGTGCTGCTCGTTTTCATGGGCAAAATTGTCGTTCTCGTTCTTCCTCGTCCCTCTTTCTCCCTCCCTTCTCCGCATCTCCTTTTCTTCCTGTCTTTCCTTTGCATCTTCCTTTTCCTTCTCTGGCTTTGTGCCATAAGAGTTTCCAACATTTCCTCATGTCCTTTTTCTTTGCGCTTGTGTTGTTCATCTTTCCCCTCGCCCTCTCCTTTACTCCCATATAGCTCGAAACATTTCGCCCATCTCCTCCTCCTTTTCCCTTTGCGCTCTCTCTCTTTTCCTTCATTTTTATTTTTTTTTCCAACAGAATGCACAGCAAAGACCCTGCATGTTCATCATTCTCGTGTGCATCCTCCTCCTCCCAGGGATGTTTCACATGTACTTGGTACATACAACACCCCCCCCCCGAAGAAAACAAAAAACGTTAAGGGAGAGAAATTGTACACCCATGAAGTGTTGAAATACAGACCCAAGTTCGAATCCAGATCCAATCAGAAATAGAGAGACAAAGAATTCATCGCTCCTCGCATCGGTCCTCTTGTACATCATCGTCGTCCTCCTCTCTCATGTTCCTCTTCTGCTGCTCGCATCCGTGCTCCTCTGCATCGTCGGTCTCCACCTCCCTCCTGCTCCTCCCTCGTCGTCCTTCCTACACTCCCCGCCACCTCCCCTGGTACGCTCGCCCTCCTCCCCCTCCCTCCTCTTGGCCTCTTTTCCTGCGCTCTCCTCCCGTTTCTTCCTTCTGCTGCACTCCTTGTGCTCCTTCTCTGCTCCGTCCTCCTCCCTTGTCCTCCTCCCTTGCATTTGTGCTCCTCTTCATCGTATGCAAGCAACATTGGGATCCCATCTTTCCTCAGCCCCAATCAAACGTGCTTTCACCCGTTGTGTTTTCCCTCTACCCTCGTGTCGCGTTTTTACCCGGAAAACCCTGCTGTTCCGTCACTTCTCTTTCCTCTCTTCTCCTCCATTGATCTCTTCTTGATCCTCACGTACATCGCCGCTCTTCGTTGGTCTTCCCTCCCCCATCCATTCTTCTTCCCCTCCTGTGCTGCTCGCATTCAGTCTCCTCCATTGTATTCAAGCAATATCGGGATCCCATCCTTATCAACCCCAACCAAATGTGCTTTCCTGCTCCCCTCCTCACCCGTTGTTTTTTCCCTTTACCCTCGTGTCCCTTTTTGGCCTTGTTGTTCCGTCACTTCTTCCTCCTCTCTTCTCCTCGACTGATCTCTTCTTGATCGTAACGTATGTCGCTGCTCTTCGTTGGTCTTCCATCCCCCATCCATTCTTCTTCCTCATCAACACTTTCTTGCTCTCCATTCCTTTTGCCAATCGATGTCGGCCCTTCCCACTTCGTCCTTTTTCCCCCTCTCGTGTATAAAGAGAGAGACACAGAGGGAGGGAGGAAGGGAGGGACAGAGGGAGGGTGTCGACTCACATACCGTGATCTACCATGACGACTGCAGGTCCCCGATCGATGACCTGCCACGACGCAACTATCGTCACAATGAGGATTCAGACGTTTCCTCCCGATTACGCCGACCCCACCTTCTTGTTACACAGCAAGTGAGGTCGAACATCGATCATGTTTACTCTGCCTCCTTCTCGCACACCATCTCACACGCCGATACTCCGACCTCCCGGCACGCATGCACTCCGTCCTGCCACCATGCATGCACACCCTCCCTCAAACCATCCGCCACCAGTGACACCATCCACATAGCCGCGCGTCACGGCCACTTGCCAACTTACACCACCGGCCACGTCATCCACGTGCTCGTCGTTCGCGCACTCGGCCGAGAAGTGCATAGTGGACCACACGCCCGCGCACCCAGCACTGTCTGCGCCATGCATGGGACTGTGCCCCATCCGGTCGTTCTCTCGCGTCGCCACCCTCCCATCCTTTCCGCTGCCTCCTCGGGACCCACGCGAGGACCGGCGTTCTGTCGCATCGCCGATTCCTGCTGTCTGCCTGCGCCAGGATTTCTCCACCGCCGACTGCCCGACATCCCGGCAAATCGAGCTCCACGACCGACTCCTCTTCAGCCCGCGCGTCGGCACTTCTCCAGCCCTCGCTCCGAGTTCCACCGGTTCCACCTTGGCCGCTGCCTGTAACCGGTCCCGCACGGAGGCACCCAGTATCTGTTGGGCCCCACGTGAGGACCGCTGTTTCCTTTAGTAGTATAGGGAAAGGTGTAGACTCTCTAGACTATAGGTGTAGACTACACTGCACAGACTAGAAGTGCATGCTATAGGTATTGACTCCATAGACTTAGACTATATGCGTTGACTTTATAGACTATAGGTGTAGACTATACGCCACAGACTAGAAGTGTATACTATAGGTGTTGACTCTATAGACTTAGACTATATGTGTTGACTTTATAGACTATAGGTGTAGACTATAGACTATAGGTGTAGACTGTACTCCACAGACTAGAAGTGTATACTATAGGTGTTGACTCTATAGACTATGTGTGTTGACTCTATAGGCTTTGTGTGTTGACTCTATAGACTATAGGTGTAGACTTTATGTACAGACTTCAGGCATACATCATAGAGATAGGTTGGGGCAGTTGGTGGTTTTGCGATCCCGTAGTATTAGCTTGCACTCTCGGCTGTGTATAGGCTGTGATGCACAGCAGGCGTAAGTTGTTAGCGTTCAGATGTACGGTCATGTAGGTTAATGCAATCTAACAGTTAATGAGCTCTCCTTGAGAGGCCACAGCTGGGAAATCTCTTCCTGATGGGCCAGCGAAGGGAGGTCCACCACACAGCCGTCACCTCCGCTGCAAAACAAGGCAAGATCAAACTAAACCCCACCAGAGTCAAAGCACCTGAGAGGGTCACCAAAACAAAAAAAACTGACTTCGAACCCAATGACCAGAACAAAACCAAATCCAAATCAAAGTGCAAAGGGAAACAAAATCAAATCCAACACACACGCAAATGTCGCAAGGTGAATTAGAATGGTGATAATTATAACGGCAAGATGATGACCAACGAGCCTAGCTGAGTTTGTACACCCATGAACTGTTGAAATACAGTTCCCCCCAGAATATAAAGGGGTTTTATGAAGGAAAAATAAATAAATAAAAAATGAAATACAGACCTGAGTTCGAATCCTGATGAACCAGTTGAACAAAATAACTTTAAATACGACAATTCTGAATTCTGAATTACTTGGGGCGGCCGTCGGCCGTTCGAAAAAGAAAGAAAGCAGTGCTGCAAACCCGGTAGGACTGGGGGGCCCTCCCCCAACCGGAACCGGACCGGTCCTACCGGCCAGTCGACCGGGCCGGTTCCCCCCCAGTTGGCCGTAGCGCATGTTTTTTTTTTTTTTTTTAATCCAGGGTGTTGTAGATGCCAAGGACTAGACCCATGGTGATCACTGGCAGCGGCAGCCGGTGATTATCCTACCAATATCGAGGGCAACTTGGACCAGACAGCAGTGGCAAATCATCCCACAAACCCCCCAAACGAAACTTCTCTGTTCAAACTTCAAAGTTTTCTTTGCGGATTCGGGGAGATCTCGGCGAGTGCAGTCTAACCATGTTTTCAAAAAAATAAAAAAATAAAAAATTTGAGACTATTATTTGACCCACTTCTGGGCCCAACCGGAATTCCGGATGGACCGCCGGGGGTCCAACCGGCCCAGTTGGATCCAGCGGATTCCGGTCCCATCAAACCGGCCGGTTGCCGGCACAGCCCTGAGAGAAAGGGAAAAAAAAGGTGATGATTGCATGGTGAAGATCACACTGTGATGTCAGGCCCATAAGTTAAGGTAAAAAAAAAAAAAAAAAAAAAAAAAGGTAAAAAAAAATGCTCATGTCACATTGTGAATCTTGTGACCAAAAAAAAACAGTTGGAACTCCGGCGCTTACCTGCAAGGAAGAGCGGAGGGCATTCGGATACAGACGGCAAAGGCAGAGGAATAGGATATTCTTGCATAATCTGGAAAAAAAATCAAAAAATAACATTTGACGCACTCAGAGACGGGCACATGATGAATCCTGTTCATTTTCTTTTTCTAATTTGAAAAACGGGTGAGACGAGGATCGGGCCCAAGCCTCTCTCTCTTTTCCTCAAAAGTTGAAAAAAGGGTTCACCTTCACCCCTTGACATTACATTTATTATTGTCTTATCCAACTGCATCTGAACACCGTCTCTTCATTAACAATTTCATCGAATGACAATCTAATGACATCTATGATAATGTATATAGTATATAGTATATACCACACAGCCAAGAATCACCCTCCAGCTTATTATTTTTCAAATTTTAAAAGATTTTTGGGCTTTTCTTCTTCAGATTGCTTCCCTTCAAGGTTCAGGTTTCAAGATGCACAAATGTTTCTGAAAGGACATTTCGAATTCCAATTCTCAGCTGGGCTACCAGCCAGGCCGCCTGGGTCACCTTGGTTGCCCGGGCAGCTTGGCCGTGCAAGGGCCAGGGAAGGTCCCAGCAAAGAAAAAGAAAAAGAAAAAGAAAAAAAAAAGTTTAAAAACTATGCTATGTAGAAAATAAAGTAAAAAAACTGAACAACTCTTGCCTCAGGGTCACATCAAAATTCCTTACCACATTAGAAATAAATTTAATTTAAAAATTAAATTATTTAAATATTTATTATTATTACTTTTTTTTTTTTGGGCTCGGCGGGCCATAAAATCCGAAAAAAAAAACTATGCTATGTAGGAAAAAAAAAAAAAAAACACTGAAGAACTCTTGCTTCAGGGTCACATCGAAATTCTTTACCGCATTAGAAAGAAATTTATAATTAAAAAATTCGAAATTCTTTACCACGTTAAAAATAATTTTTTAAAATTAAGAAATTCAAAACGTTATTCTTCATTTTTTTAATTAAAAAAAATAAAAAATTGGGCCCAGCCAGGCAAATGGTCCCGGGCTACTCTGGTAGGCTAAGATTCTCAGCAATTTGTTGGGCCATACATGACCCCAGAAAGAGACCTACCACTTCAGCAAAAAAAACAAAGTTAAACAAAGAAATATAAGCGCCAAATGTCACGCAGGATGTCATCCTGGCCAGGCATCGATGATTCTAGATCCATAGTACTCCATACTCTAACACTTATGCGTCTGATAGAAGCATGAGCAGTGACAGATGCACACATGGCCTTCATCCCAATGACTGCCCTTTGAAATTCAGGGGCGTCCATACCATTGCACATTGTTGACAACTGAGCATCGAAAGGATTGCAGTACAATATGACAATAATAGTAAGATAAGATTTTCTTTTTCACTCAAACAAAAATATGCTATCGCCTTCTCAAGAGTCTGAACTTCATTCACACAGTTTCATAGAGATAGTTAGAGAAAACTGCAGCTGTGAAAAGCTTCTTTGGACTTAACCTGTGTTCAAACTTCAACATCGTTGACATCCGTTGTATGGTACAAACTCATCTACTAAACAATACATAGCTGTAATTGTAGTCAGAAACTGCATGCACACGCCTCCTTTGACAGGCCCATTTGGGTTCGGGTTTTTTTGCCGCATCACCACAAGCAATGTCGTTGAAAATTCACAAACGAACTACGCAGGGTCATAATACAAAAGTTATTACAAACATTATAAAAAAAAAAAACAGACAAAAAAAAAAGAAAAAAAGGAGAAAGTCTGAAATCGGAAAACCTCAATAAGCACCAGAAAACCCCAACAACTGCTCATCCCAAGCCCTCGTAAGAGCAATGGAACCCTTCAGACTGGCATCGGAAATGAAGGTCAATTGGGGCAAAACCGAAGGATGGTGGCTAGCAGATGGGACCCCACCCCAACCGGCCGATACAGCCACAACCATGTCATGGTCTAAAGGAGATCAGGCACTAAGATTCCTTGGTATCATGGTAAACAAGGACGGACTGTGGCCAGGCATGGGGCAGAACCTAGTCGCCGGGGCAATCACTCGCATGGCCCCGTGCAAAAATGCCCAGGCCTCGATAATTGGAAGAGCACTACTAATTAACATGGCAATCTTCTCCACACCGTGGTACAAGGCATTCATCTGGTACCCCCCCGACGATGACCTCAAAACGTTACAAAACAAGGCCAGATGCTATCTATGGACCGGAGACCCCAACAGGACCACATGCATCAACAGGGTAGCCTGGAACCACATCATCAGGAAACCACAGGAGGGGGGGCTTGGGCTAATAGACCCCAAACAGGAATCCATAGCACTGCAGATGAAATGGATTATCGAGATCCTAATAAGGCAATTCATTCCATGGACCCAGATGGCTCTAGACAGTACAAAAAATCTAGCACCTATCAACTCCTCTCTGAACATGAGAGGTCTCTTCTGGATAATGGCGAAGGACTGGACAATCAAATCTAGCAGAAGAAACCCATCAAATCACATTACACGCCCTACTCCAACAGCAAATCCATATTGAAAGCCAACCCTCAAAGCCTGGCGAAGAATGATGCCGAGCAAACACGGGGCGCCAGGAAACAGAGAAGAGGTCCTGAGACAACCTCTGTTCTGCAACCCCAGGATTGTGGACCCCAGTGGCTCACCCTGAACACTACGCACAAAAGACAGGAGATGGCTATCCTGGGTGGAAAAGGGGGTGTGGCAGGTGAAACACATTTGGGCAGAAGATCGAAGACAATGGTTAACTGGACAGGAGCTCCGAATTGAACTAAAAGGCTGCCACGCCCTCACGGAAAATCTAACACAGATTCAGAAGAGCATCCCAACACAGTGGCTCTCCCTCTTAAGGGAGGACTTCTCATGGAAATCCGGGGACTCGTGGAAAGTGAGGGCCACAAAAGCCGAACCCTGGATAATCTTCCAGCCTGATCTCTGCATTTCAGACCTCGAATTCGACCCGAAAGAGTGGATCTGGAAACAGGGAAAATCCGGGAGAACGAGAACGATATCCAAATACGATGTAAAGTTCGGATATGGCTTAGGATTACAAACTACAGACCCGGATCCCAGACTCAAAGAAAAATGGAGGGAGATCCTGAACCTAGAACCTATTGAACCCATTTCCATCCCCTGGACGAAGTACCTGTCCATCAGACCGGTTAGAATTCGAAGCATGCAGTGGCTCGTAGCCCACGCATCCCTGCCTGTCATCCAATGGCTCCACAAGAGGAGGATACATACGGATCTCGACAGCTCTGATTTATGTGCTATGTGGACAGACAACAGACCAGAAGACATACCCCACCACTGCCTTCATCACCCCCTCCCCCCACATCTCCTCAAAACATCCTCCTTCTATCCGACAGTACTAACAATCTCAAATACGGCAAGGAAATCTGGTTTCACCTTCTCAGGAAGCTGGCTCTGTGTGTGATCTGGAAAAGGAGGTATACCAAGACTATCGAGAGAACTGAGGTGGCAAGGGAAGAAATGTGGGCCCTACTGTTGAGTATGATGCAAACTGAGATTCGGTGCGGATGGAGGGAGGTCACATCAACAACAAAAGTCAGACCAGAAAGGCTAGCCACCAAGAGACGCTCCTTCATGAGAGACTGGCTCCTACAGGGAAAGATTGCAACAGTGGCAGATAACAGATTGATACGGAAGAAATGGCACAGCGAAACTCCACGCAAGGACGACGACCCAGTGTGCGGCAAACTGAGACCATAGTCTCAACAATAACTCTTCTCTTTTCTTGTTGCACATGAACTATATGACAGAATCACAAAATGGATTCTGAGAGGAAAAGCTGTAGGGCAAGCTGACAGTCAATCCTCCTACTAGGAGCAATCAATGCTGGTCAGGGTTCCTTCGGCCAGACGGAAGGAAGCGAGAGAGTGTTCACCATGTACTCCAATTCTCGACTTGCCGGGGGACAGGAGCCGTACTGACGCTCCCTAGAATGGATATGGAGCCGGGACCATAAGGACC